TATATACATGCATACATACACACAAAATCAGCCATGAGGAAATCTTTCAGCCTCACATGAAATTCCTGATCACAACCTTCACAGGCATGTTAACTTTTTCTTTCACCTGACTCAGTGAACTAAGCATTGTCTCTGTCTTGATTCTTTATTTAATTGAAACACATACAGTCACTTGCAAAAACATAACTAGATTTATTATGTTTTTTGCTTAATTGGCCTTATCCACCCCCAAATAACATGTCTTTTAAAGGCAATAATTGAGTTTACTGCATGTAATGAAAGCAAGAGTATTAGCAGCATTACACCGACGTCTTCTAAAAGGCTCTTCTCAGCTGTATGAGGGGAAAGTGTTTTCTTTTTCTTTTTCCTTTTTACTTGAGAGAAATCGTTTTACATGCATGAAAGATCAGCTGTGCATCTGAAATGAGACTTTCAGCTTCACAGATTGAGAACTGGATCTCTATCAGGCTTGTTTGTAAATGCATTAGATTGACCCTCAGCTTCTTGGCAAGAAATCAAAGCCACATTTATTCGGTCACTCATTTCCAGCATTGATAGAAATAATGAACTACGCTCTCATGCTTTCCGTTCCACACATAGTAAGGATGGAAAATAAACTGCGTCAGGCTCAGTCAAATGTAGCAGAAGGCTTTGGCAGTGAAGACTAGTGAAAACAAAGATGTATGGTCTGAAACACAATTAATTCATCAAGCAGTGGGTTCTGGGAAGACACTTTAAGGACAATAAAAGACCTGATTGGGCTGACTCCGCCAAGTTCCCATTAGTAAAGAACATGTGTTGACCTTCATGTCTTTTAGATGCTGGGTTCAGGTCAGTTAAGCATTGTTAAGAAACAGTAGATTCACAATGGGGACACTTTTAACATTTATTGTAAGCTTTAAAGCTCAGGATATGCTGAGAATAAAGAAATCAAGCATACTACGAGAGAGCCCAATCTCATTCTGTTCTCGTTGGCATTTAGCCACCTGAGGTCTTTCTGGAATAGATGCTTAATAACATTTTTTGAAATACAACCATTAAGTTCCCCGTCTTGTCCATTTGGATATTGTTAGGGGTTGATTGTGATGAGAGCTGTGTTATTTCGTCTGGCAGGCAGCTCTGAAGAAATATCAGATGGAACACAAAAGCAAAGGAGAGAGTCTGGAGAAGTGCCAGGCCGAACTGAAGAAACTGCGCAGGAAGAGTCAGGGCAGCAAGAACCCCTCCAAATATGGAGACAAGGAGATGCAGGTGAGTCAGTGCTCTTCAAATTTCAGCAAATGAAACTTACTTTTAAGTACTTTCTTTTTGGTGGACTAGTTACACCAAAAATTAGAATTCTATCACCATTTATTCAGCCTCATATCATTCCAAACATGTAAATCCTTCTTTTGTGTAACACAAATGAAGATGTTTTGAAGAATGTAGTTGTTCGCTTTTTTCCAAAGACCCAAACAACTTTTATTTTGGTCTGTTTCTCATTCAAAACTCTATCATATGACTTTAGAAGACCTGAAATATAACAAATTAGTTGTATTGACCACGTTTATGATACTTAAATGGTGCTTTGCATCCTTTTTGAAGCTTGAATGCTCTAGTCTTCATTAATTATAATTGCTTGGAAAAGAGTGTCCAGTCTTTTCAATGTAATTATAAGTGTCAATCTTCATATTTTCTCTTTTTTTGTTGCATGGAAGAAAGTAATACAGATTTGGAACAACGTGAGGCTGAGTAAATGATGAGAATTTATTTTTGGATGAACTATTTCTTAAAAATTTCTCTCAGTGTACAAAAGACATAAATCAATTCAAGTCTTGAAAATGTAATGTCTGTGCATTCTGAGTTTGGCAATTCGTGACATCCAACTGAGACTTCATGCTGGGATGAAACATTGTGGGAATTCTATAAATCTGTTTCTGTAAGTAATCTCTATAAATCCCACTCTTTCTCTCTTCACAGTTTGAACATACAGCTTTGAACACACTCGAGAGAGAATGAGAAAATTAAACATGAGCATGTATGTTAAAACTTTATCAAAATGTGTGATCACATTTTTACATTGGCTACAGTAAAGATTTCCAAACATAATTTTGCTTTGCTACAATTACAGTGACTTATAACAAAAAAAAAATTTGACAGGCAAAAGATTCATTAAATAAAAAAATAAAAAACTCGCAGACAATTTGGTTATTCACAAGCTTTACTCAGAGTCTATAAAAATCTTTACAAGAATTTTTCACACATTATGGATCTAAAGGGTTTATAAAAGTTTTCATTATCTTATTTTTTGATAAAGTTATATTTTTATAATCTGATATGCTGTTGCTCTTTTCATGCTCTGCTTTGCACTGAATCAGACAATAAGCTGTGAACACAGAAAAAATTATTCCAGTTTTAGTCTGTTTGGCTCTTTAGGTGCTAAAGAAAATCCCACTCTGTTTGGCTGAAGTCCTTTCATACAATATTGTACTTGTTTTGAGTGGGTTTCATTGTGTGTGTGGTGTCCTTGTGCTTTTGTTCATCGAGGCCTTGTTGTACGGGGGTTGAATTATCGGGATCGCGGTTTGTTTTGAACGTACGCCTCTCACTACCGTCGTCACAAGGTGCGAGGTCAGGGGGAAGTGGGAGTGTTGTGCTGTGGGCTGCCCTGGGGTCAGTTCATGCCGTTAGCTGTAGGTGTGCTCCTCATAGTGGCGTAGGAACACACTGTTGCGTAAAACGCTGTGGGCTCTGCTTGCTTGTTAAACACACCCCACAGGTGTGTATAAAAGAAAAAACAGAAAGGTGAGTGGGTTGTTTTAAATGAATTACGTGAACTTCCTCTTCCGGGGTTTAACAATAACTGTAGGACGATCAGAGTGAACCAAACATCAGAGATGATTGATTTGTTATACTGTATCAGGGTTGGCCAAACTTTGCTTCCTTTTTTGAGTTGTGAAATTTAAATGGGAATGACAGGAAAATAAATTTATTGAACTGTAATTCAAAGAATTTCTGTAACTGAAAGAAAGGAAGCTGCTTCATGTTGAGTGGCTCCAATTTGAAAACTGGAAAATTACATTTAGGAAAAAAACATTTTGGTGTTCTTTCACCAGCTAATTTAGTGATATTTTGTTTTTATTCACATAAAATATAATAAAACATATGTATGCAATATTTAAGCAGTTATAGGCATTTCTTTGAATTTAATTTCCATTTAAATTCTGCTGGCTTAAACCATCATGCTCTGTATATGCTGTTTTATGTTGCAAATCTTGGCCTTCCGTAGACCTCAATGGATTCAGTGCCAAGCAGAAACAGAGGCTCTGATGTTCTTTTTTTCTTGACTTCTGATCAAAGGCTAAACGTTTGATACAGTATGCAGCTCTGATGTAAGAAGTGCATTTAGAAAAGAAATGGAAATCACATTTTGATTGATTAGCTTGTGCCTCACCCCTCTGTGTGGCACAGGGCTTCAGGTAAAAAAAAAAAAATCGATATTTGTAGCTGTAAAACGTCTCTGGTCTCAGCTCATTGTTTTATTTTTTTTCATTTTTTTTTAATAGTTTACTAGGTGTGAAAGCTGAGATTTACCCCTGAGAAAACATTGTGTATGTGTAAACCCTTCCCATGGTTCCCTACATGTGGCAACTCTCTCGTGAGATTTCTTAAATGTCAGTTTTCTATAAATGTGATTTTTTTTCTGTAATAGCTTTTGTCAATTATTTATAGGTGTGTGTGTATGTGTTCATTCACTGACACTTAGCAGCTCAGTTTGAACCATGGATGAATTTTACATGTGGTGCTCATGGTCCCCACTGTGCGTCATGCTGTGGAGACTGAGAGTCTGGTTTCAGAGATGGAATGAATAGAACACTGCAAAACTCACTACACCAAGTTGTGGAGAATGTCTTTCAAAGGTGTGAATGGTGGTACCATACCATAATATTGACCTATTTTAGAGATTTTTTATGGATAATTTTTTGGAGACATTGAACATATATTGGCCGATATTTAATTGTACATGGTCATTTCCCATATTTTTCATTTAGATAAAGTGAGCTTTAGATCAAAGCAAAAGTAAAACTAATCTTTAAAAATACTTAAAAATATAATTGAAAAATTCAATCAATGCAACATTTTTCATACCCTATAATGTTATATTGCAACAATTTCACAATTGTTAAACCATAGCATGTTTCGTTTTATATAAGAAACACTGTTGTTTCAGTTTCCTCCCTGATTACTAGAGAGAAACACAGGTCTGTTCCAGATCCCCCGTTCCAATATTAATACTGTGACCAGTGTAATGCACTCATTTCTCTTTTTTCCCCCTGAGGAATCAATGCACAGAAATGATGCCGCATTCTAGTCATATCCTACATTCATATTCAGCATGTGGTAAAATGAGGTCAACCGGAGGGCAGGCAGATTGATCTGAACTGGAGTGTCACTTATGATTTCAGGCTGCAGTAGTGTAGGATATGGACCCACGTTACATCATCTTTGTACGTGGACGTGTGTACATTAGTATTCCCCTTGGGTACCAAACTAAAGACATGTAGTGCAGAAATTTGAACCTATTTATCCCTACCCCACCACACTGAGCCATATGGTTACATACTGCAGCAAACAAACATTATGACGCTGTTTACCAACTCTAGAGCATAAACCTGTTGAATGCAGCATTTTTAGCCTGACAGTGTTTACTGTCGTATGTTCATGTCAGCCACTTCACAAGTGGTAGTTAACGTCATGCAAATCATGCTGCCTGTCTATTACCTGAATCACCGGGAGATTGTAAATATAGATGTTGAGTTTTTTGCCATGCTCCTGTACTTGTAATGTCTGATGGTACAAATTTTGTTCATTCAGTTCAGTCATTTAAATAAATCATTGCGGAACCTCTATTGCCTCAGGCCAAATTGCAGTAAATATCTATCAAAGCTGACAGAAAAACCATTGGTTTTCATCCATTTTGCTTAACAACTAGAGTGAATTACTGCCAGCATTAACTATTAAATGTGCAGACTAACAAGTGTAGGGTCATTTTGGTAAATGTAAGATGCAGAAATATATGATACATTTGAGTAAATGACCCTACACTTGTTAGTCTGCACATTTAATAGTTAATGCTGGCAGTAATTCACTCTAGTTGTTAAGCAAAATGGATGAAAACCAATGGTTTTTCTGTCAGCTTTGATAGATATTTACTGCAATTAAATATGATATGATACAAATTGCCTGTGTGACAACATTTTTGTACTTGTACCTACCTGGCAACAGACTTGCGCTGGTCCTGCGTCTGAAGTTGTGTAAGTGCACTCGCTGGACCTCAGATTTAATCTTAGCATTGTACATGAACTGTACATGTAAATGTTCTCTTCATGACTCAGACACTGAAAGAACATTTAATAGGAGCAGAAAAGTGGTCTTGACCATGGGTCATTAAATACAAAGAAGATCCTGTAGTATAGTGCTGTCATTATCTGGAAAGAAAAAGACAGACCATAATATCTGATCCATTAGCGCACAAAACATGCAGTCTATGTGGGCTACGACGACATGTTCAAGCTGAAAAATATTGAGATTTGAATGTTGTAAATTACTGCTGCTTGCATATATCATTCAAAAGTTAAGGGTTGGTTAGATGTTGTAATATTTTTGAAAGAAATCTCTTATGCTCATTAAGACTATTTATTTGACTGCAATACATTAAAACAATTCATTATTGCTTTCTATTTTAATGTATTGTAAAATGTAATTTATTCCTGTGATGCAAAGCTGAATGTTCAGCAGCTATTACTCAAGTCTTCAGTGTCACATGATCCTTCAGAAATGATTCTAGTATGCTGATTTGGTGACCGATTTCTTATTAACAGTATTCAAAACAGTTGTGCTACTTAATATTTTTGTGGAAATTGTGACTTTTTTTTAAAGGATTCTTTATATTCTGTAGAAATGTTTAGCAATGTAGAGGTCTATAACAAAATCAAAGTCACCTTTGATCAATTTAATGCATCCTTGTTGAATAAAAGTATCAATTTCTTACTAGATACAAATCTTACTGGCTGCAAACTTTTGAACTGTAGTGTACAGTATATGCTAGTTTACCTCCAAAAAGTAATGGAGTTATTCTTTAAGAGTGTTTACAGTTGAAAACTGAACTCCAAAAGGAAGAGAAATGCCTTCAAAATGGCTTTTTTGCAAAGTATGTAGTTTCTAATTTTGTCAGATCCTGGAGAGAACGGAGATTATTTGAGAAGTGTAACCACCATGCTTTGCTCTCAGCGTTTTCTTTCCTGTCACCTGCATTTTTTGCTGAGCAATTCCCTGGTCACTTTAAATAAAGTTACAAGCCAAAAACAGATGTCTTTCAAGCTTGATAAAGTGATGTGACTCACTCTTTGGAGTAGATGCTATGTGCAGAAATATTTAGCATTCAGCTGTTTTTGTGACCAAACTCCCACTCACGATCAGAGAGAATCCTGGAAATGCTACATTTTACATCTAGTGTTTTACCTACAGGCGGATTACATCTAAACTAGCTTGACAACTCAGTACCTACTTTTATATTTGACATTACAACATCTGTTTCCTAGTCAAAGCTGAGGTGTTGTATCTCTTTTCATTTCCTCTCTTTCATCTCTCATGTTCTTTCGCACATTAGTTTAATGCTAAAGCATTACAGACAAGTCTATCTGATGTACATTAGAGCAACAAAACCTACAAAACTGTGTTTTGGTGCTGGTGTCATAGACCAGTTGTGTACCAAATGAGTTTTAAACACTGGATGAGGCATTGCTTTATTCATTTCACCTGTGCAAGGCACTAAACCCATGAAACTCAAAGATTGAGAGTCTGTGTGAACGTTGTACACATTCATACATCACTATGAGCCCATAACACATTTTTGCATGATGCAATGGCCTTTTCTAACTTCAGACTAATAATAGACTTGCAAACAGTGATTGTTCATTAACACTTGGTAGGAAGGAATCAGCATAACTCTGTGATATCACAATATCTACACAGGTTGAATAACCTTATGAAGGGTGTCACTGTGTGTGCGCAGTTTGGATTGCATCCAGTTCCTGCAAGGTGTATGTCCTTGTTAGATGTTGTTTTGGCTGTGGCGCGATCTTTACAGAAGCAGCAGCCTTGGTAATTTTTATGTTGGGATACTTGAGTTTAATTTTATTTTTATTTATATTTGTTAGGCCGGTTAAATTCAGCCCTCACCAGCTTTGCGTGCTATGGATTATTGAGTTTTAGCATTACCATTTGCTTCCATACAATGAGAGTAACAGCAAGCCTACATGGTTGTCATTTGAAATGTGCGGTTCTCCTAGCATGGCCTTCATTACATCAGGCTGCGTTAAACTGGGGCATTGTTTGTCATTTTTTTTATGCCTGCTTCATGGCACCTTCCCTGTCCCTCAGTACGTCGAGACCATCAGCAGCAAACAAAATGAGCTGGATAACTACATCTCTGAGAGCTACAAGAATGCCCTGTCCGAAGAGAGACGGAGGTATTGCTTCCTTGTTGACCGTCAGTGTGCAGTGGCCAAAACGAGCAACACCTACTACACCAAGGTGAGAATTCATGTCATGCTGAAGAAAATTTGGGTTGCAGAAACACTGAAATTCAGTTAATTTAAATAAAACTTGTTAAGCATGCATTTTAGCCATTATTTGCTCATTTAAATGTGTTAAAGACAACATGAAATGCCATTTACCTTCCGCAATGTGACATATTTTGAAGTGAAGCTGAGTAATTAGTAAGGTTCATTTGATTTAATCAATATTTGTTTGGGTCATTTGGTCAGTTAAACTGATAAAGCCTCTTTTATGTCAACGTGACCGTGGTTACATTAGAAAACGTTACAAGACAAAGACATCTAAAAAAGTATACAAGTTCAATTTTGATTACATGTTGTCTTTAACCTTCAGTCATGAAATGTATTAATACAGATCATATACTATTAATTATAAGTATCCATTTTGCCAAGTAAATAGTCATAACAACTCCATACTCTGTGTTCAGTTGTTTCTGCTCCCAAATCCCATTTAGTCAAGTCATTCATTTCATTTCAGTGCTGATCATTCCACCATGCTTGCTAGAGAATGTGCTATACTGTATGTTTTGGGAAAGTTTCTTAGATTGTGTCAAAAAGTCACTCATGCCAGTGCCGTAAAATTGGGTTTTGTTTACAATGCAAAATGATTTATAATCAAAACTAAATTTTACTGCTTACTAATTGTATCAAGGAGATTTAATCAAGGTGGTGCTGCCCATATATCAAACACAAGGGTGAAGGATGATTATTCTTTTTAGAACATTACATTCACACTGAACAAAAATAGAGTAGATTTGGTGATATCTGTTGGATTCACCAGCATGCAGAAGAACACCATTCATTCCCACGTAAGCGAGATTCACTCCTCTACTGTGACGCTCACGCTTCAGAATCGGTGATAGACAGAGTGTTGGGAGCAACGATGGCAAGAGAAGGAGAAGAAAAAGGGAGGGCCAGGCAGAGAGTGGCACACTTTTACAAGAACAGACTGTTCAGACGATAATCACTGTTTTCATATATGTGTGTAGGTGTAGATTCATACTGAAGAAATTTCTCTGCAGGCAACTCCAGAAACATTTTAGACAAAGAGGCATTACCTAACAGGGGAAGATTATATTGGGGTCTATTCTACAAAGTACTACTTTATTATCCACTTTTGTGAGAACAGGAAGAGCAAAGTGACGTGAACTAAACTGACCATCTGCCAGAGTTTGCCATGGCTGGATCTTAACACCGTCGCCCACACCAGTCATGGTACTTGATACTTACTCACTCGTCTGCAACTGAGGGCAGAAGGAACAAAGAGTATAAAAACTCTCTCATGCTCAGACGACTAAGAAATTTTACCACTGGGAAGAAAATTGAAAAGAAACATCTTAAACATGTAATGAAATTTGCACACAGGGTTCACAGATTTCTTGGGAACTAGTAGGCAGTTAGGTAGTGGTCTGTGAATTGCATTTGTGTGATGCCTTTTCACACAAATGCAATTCTGAGACCACTATTAACTGCCTATTAGCAAGATTTAGCATATGCTTTTATCCAAAGTAATAATAGTTACTGTACACTTATTTCAGGGTCATTCTCCTTGGATCAACTTGGGATCAAGTGCTTTACTCTTTGAGGGGTTTGAACTAGCAACATGCCAGTTAACAGACCTAAGCTTTACCCAATACGCTACATGGTGATCAATGACCAAAGCTGACCCAAAAATGAAACTGACATTCACATATGTCCTTCCAGACTTGTATGATTTTAACATGGAACACAAAAAGGATGAGATCAGCATATTTTGCAGCATAGTTACTCTTCCACATTCTTGTTTCGCATCTTTGATAAACATGTCTTTAAGTATCATTTTTGAATGTAAATGAATGAGATTTAAGAGCTACAACAGAGACTTGTAGGGTCTTCATTAGTATTTCATTAGTGTTCCTCCAAGGAACAACATGTGAGTGAGTAAATGACAGAACTTTCATTTTTAGGTAAACTGTACTTTTAAAACAATGTTAAAATTGCAAATGCTTTTAATGAGCTGTGACTACTGAATCTTATGGTTTTACACATGATCTGTCCTGCTACTCTTGAAACTTTTGGATCAGCATTTAACGTCCAGATGAAACGGAAACTGCGCTTATCATTTCATTTTCTATTTCCATTTATAATAAACACTGTAATATTACATAAAAAATAAGAATTGTCCATTTTAATTTCATGGTTACTAAGATCTGCCAATTTGCACTCCTGAAGAGTGTTTTTATGAACCCAATGAGGTCGTGCCAAAGTCCACAGGTGCTCAGACAGGCAGGCAGGTGATAATTGCTTTGGGTGGGGTGGTATGTGGTTGTGACTTCGAAAAGGACCGTAGGGGCACAGTTGACAGGGTATTGACCTGTGTCAGCCAACTACAAACTATGGAGGTATTATGAGTACAGAGTGAAGGAGAGTGAGAAAAAAAAGATTAGATGAAAGGCATTGACATGTTATAAGGCATTTAGAAGTCTTTTCACCCAGTGTAGT